CTAATTGAAAATTTTTAATTCATTAAAAGTAAAATCGAATATTTTAAAATATTAAGGACAATAGAACAGTTGATATATTTAGCATTTTAATTTTTGTAATATTCATATTTTAATCTTTATTTGTTCCTAAAATAAGAACACTATTCTTTTTAAGACTAAAAAAAATATTATTTTAATAGATGTAATTCGATGAGCATTTTAGTTATCAACAAAATCATCAACAATCTTGACAATGCGAGGAAAAATCGTAATTGGTTTTAATTTTTAAAAAAATGTGATATTATGTTCCATCACCTTTTTAAAAGTAAAAAGATATATTTTTTTTAACCTTAAAAATAACTTGAGAGGAATACATTTTAATTTATTTTCTCTTTCCTCTCATTTAATATTCAATTTTATTTTTAACTATCTGAAAAAGTATTTTGACTGAATTTAAATTTTTAATAACATATTTTCATTTAAGTTATTCTATAATAATATATATTTTTTTCAATCCTCATCTCGGACCTTTTAGTGGAGAATATATGACTTAACCAATTGAGTTASGCTCAAGTTGGCATATTAAAAAAAGATTATTATAAAAAATTAATTTACATATGGTCTATTATAGTCTATTTTTATTAAAAAAAATTAATGATCTACTTTATTGGGTAAACTGCATTTGCATTTTATTTTTATATTGTATTAAATAAAATGAAAATGTTACCGACAAAGATTATTTTAAAACGTTTAGAATCACGTGCTACACCTAATATTGTAATTAGGTTCCAAAGTTTGTTAGATTTCAACGTTATTGAATTTTAGATTTATTCGATCGACCAGCGGGGCAAGAAAGAAATTCCCGTGCACGTATTCTCCAATTAACTGTTTTTTTATTTTTCCCATGTAACTTGAACAAAAGATTTTTGTCACACTCAATCCAATATTGAGCTTTTTTTTCTTTTTTTGTGATCGTTAAAAAATATATATTGAGCTTTTTTCGAATATATATATATCTATAATATCGGCTATTGAAGTGTCGAACCTACTGCCCCATTTGTCTAACAAGGGGGCGGGCGTAACAGCTACATGAACTCCTTCTTTTCCGTTGGTGCCAGTGCTTTCTTGGACCTTTGGTACTTCGGTAGGGCGAGCAGCCCTTTTTCTCTTTTTCGGGAGAACGAGGGGTAAAAGCCCGAGAACTAAGAGGAAACAATGAGACGGGACATGGGACACCGAACAATGTCAGCAATCAAAAGGGGATTACAGTCGGAATCACAATAAAAGAAATTACGACCAGAATTAGATCAAAAGAAATTACGCCCTAGTATAGTTACCAGAATTAGAGTCGGAATCATGACCATATTTAAAAAGGCTTATCAAATTTTGCCTCTTGGGATCTTGCCAAATTCGCACCAATCTTCTAAGAAGAGGGATTAACAAGACTGCAGAATAGAATAGYTTTAAGACCGGTGTGGCTTTTGCCACACGGACTCCGATGCTTAAGTCAGTATCACATTAGTTGAGTATAGAGAGTAGGGTGTATAGAAGACGAATCCTAATCTCTCCAGGATTTACATCAGTCGAATCTTATTCCCTTCAGTATTTACATAAGTCAAATTTAGTCCATCTAGGAGATCTAGATAGAGTGAGCCTTATGCTGCATTCACGACCGAGACTAAGTCAACTAGGATCGGGCTGTGCGGGCGTCGGGAAGAATCGATGAGGTTCTCGGCCCTCCTTGGCGCCAAGAAGGTCTCCACGCCGGCCCACTTACCTTTCGCGGGTCCGCTTCTTCTTTGGCTCCATTCCTCCTTCCCGATTGTTTAATCCGATCTCCATTTTCTTCGTATAACAATAATATATATATATATATATATATAGATATATAGATAGATATACATACATACTTATATATACACATACATACTTATTGACAAATTGCAAATAGAATTTATTAACTGAATTTTGTAACTTTTCAATAAATTTCAGCTAGAATCCCTGCTTGTGTTTAAAGGGATAAATATCATAGGAGAAAAGTTATAAAATTTTATCCCAATAAAATATTTTAAAAAAAATTCACTTAAATGCGTAGTTTAAGAAAAATTAGATTAAAAGAAATTACGCCGTAGYACGGTGACAACAATTACCGCCGGAATCACGACCATATTTGAAAAGGTGCTTATCTATAAGGACGTTTGTTTCATGGAAATCTAAGATTCCTGTAAGACGGACATCTGGATTCTCACGTTTGTTTTGTGATAATCTAGGATATCCGAGTATCTCGAGATGCCTGGGTATCTTAGGATATCATTTGGAAGACATCCAARTCGATTTGGATGTCTTTTGAGACATGCGTTTTCCATGATTCCCATGTCGAGAGCATTCTATGTTGACATTTTTACTCCTACGTTATTTTTTCATATATTTTTTTTATCAAATTTCTTTGGTTTTATTTGTAATTTTATAGTTTAAATAAATAAATATATTCATGGACTAATAGCAATTAAGTATATTTATGTATTACATGTACATATAAAATAAACTTCAATTAAATTATATAATATCTTCATTTAGTTTTAATATTTGGAATGAATTATTATGAATAATATCTATTATCTTAAAAAAATAATTTTGTAGCAGCATTTTTTTAACGATCAGCTTACCTTTGATATTTTTCTTCTTAAAAGAATATAATTTGATAATATAATAAATGAATTTTACCTCATATAATATTAATTATATAATTGTATTTTTTAAAAAATATTAAAGTTGAGAGTGAAATTTATATTAATATTAATTAACTTTTAAAAAGTCTTATATTAATATGAATTCTACCTGAATAACATCAAAAAAAAAAATTAATACATATATAAAATTAATATAAAAAAACCTAAAATATTGAATTAAGTTTAAGAAAATCTATTATATAAATGTAAATTATATTAGATTAATGTATAAATTATATGAATATTGGTAAGGACGTTTTTGGAACATCATATAAATCTAGAACATTCTCATGAATAGATCGTGAAAAAAAACAAACGTGGTTATCTAAATATTCCCGAACACCCATATATATTTTCCTACGAAACAAATGTGGTCATTTGAAGATACCGAACATCTAAAAAATCCGGATATCTGAAATTCTAGGCGTTTGAAGATACCGGAGATTTGCATTACCGAAAAACAAACGACCCTTAAGGAGTATTGCAAAAAGAAACGAAGAGAATAATTTCAACCTAATAGTATACTTTAATTTAATTATGAGGCAGCTTCTTTACTGAAASGTAAATAACTTAAATTGTCTATTCAAAATAATAGTAAAAAAGTGGTCCAACTCATTCATTGAGCATACAATATCAATCAAATATTTACCTTAAACATTAATTATAAAATATTTATTTCAAAAAATAATATAMGATGGTGAGTTTTGTTGGGATAATGGAGTCAAAATAGATGACCTATGCGGGATATTTGACCTCTTATAAATAGAACCTTTTTGTTAAGGTTTCATTAGTACAAAATCCAAATAAGAGAAACTTGAGTGGTTGTGGGCAGTACGTGAAAAAAAGGAGTTTGTATCCCGTGGGTTTTAGTGAGGGTATTTTCAATTGTGTAATCCTAGGTAGCCATTGTTAGGGTACTTAGAAGCAAGATAATAATATCTTGAGTGAGATCTCAATTGTAATATTCTCAACTATAGTTGAACCTGTTTTTTCGCAGAAGACTAGACATAGTCTTAAGATAGGACAAACCACTATAATCCCTGTGGTGTTAAGTTTTTTATCYGTATCTCTTATTCCTTTGTTATTRTTACTTACTTATTTACTTTTAGCMTGTAGAAGGAGAAAATAAAATAGTTCATGTTTAAAGAACTTACATGAGGATCGATTGATCTATATTTTTTTTCTAAAATTTGGTGTGAATTTATACTTTATCAAACTAAGTACAAATTCACACGAAACCTTAACTTAAGCCCTGAGAAGAGATTTGTCAAAAGTTTTCTTTTATCGGCAAACAAATCCTCCAAGTTCTACATTGTCATTCTTTGATGGATGTATCTCAAAAAAGTCTTGAATAAAGAAATTTCAAAGGCTTCAATCCTGCTTGAAAGTTCTGCAATGTCATTATCACCACTTTTTAATTTGGAAGTGAATAAGATTTTTATTTCAATTTTACAGAACAATATATCTACGAAACATTAAACATATCCATCAATATTTGAACTCAAATTTTTTTTTGTTTAATTAATTAAAATATCAAACACCTTAAACGGCTTGTTTTCTTTTCTTACCTGTTTGTGCTCTTAAATTCTGAAAAATCTCTAATATCTTTTCAAAGCTCATGTTTCTTAAAATTATATATATATACATACACGCACGCACGCACACGGATCAAATGGGAGTAATAGACGCCCTAACGATTAATATTTTCTTAAGACTTAATAGTGATTTTAACGTAATATCTAAGTATGAAATCTCATATGTTGGTTTGATAACTATTTTGTTTTTCATTTTCTGATTTTAAAAATTATATTTGTTTTTTTAACATGAAATATTAAGTTCAATATGTAATCTGACTTTACACCAATTTCTTTTTATTTGTGAATGTTCACAACCTAACTTAATTTACTAAATCACTACTTTCACTCTCTATAGTTAATTAAATTATGTCAATCGAGATTAAACAGGTTAAAGATATTTATATCCTAATCCTGATTTCAAATACTACCCCACATTGTATTAAAAAAATAAAGAAAAATCTATCTTACTCATAATAGGAGGAATTTTCTTTTTCTTCTTTTTCTAATAAGTAATTGACTTGACCAAATTTCTTAGGAAACTATATGGAGAAAAACTGACCAAAAAAAAAAATTGTTTTCTCAATCCATTATAATTAGTTCCGTGCTTTGAATTTTCTTTGTTCAATAATCTAAATCTCAAACTTTGACACTTCCGTTTTCTTCAGCTAAATAAAAAAGAGAGGTGCCTCTTTTACACTATAAATGGAACCCTTCATCCATTGCCAAAACMCAAAACCAAATATGAAGTCTCCAATTACCTCCTTAGCCTATATTTTTGTTGTCTTATCCTTTGTATGGGTAGCTTCTGCTTCCAACTATGAAGATTTTCTCCGTTGTCTTTCTTTTCATTCTCCCAACAACTCTTCAATTTCAAAGATTGTTTACACTCCCATCGATATTTCGTACTTTTCAATTTTGAACTTCTCAATCCAGAACCTAAGATTTGCGACTGCCAAAACTCCAAAGCCCCAAGTAATCGTGACGCCCTTGCAAGTTTCCCACATTCAAGCATCCATCATTTGTGCCAAAAGTAACGGCTTCCAGATACGAACACGAAGTGGTGGTCATGACTACGAGGGTCTTTCTTATGTCTCYGATAACGTTCCTTTCGTTGTTATTGATCTGACAAACCTTCGATCGATCGACGTGGATGTGGAAAAAAACGTTGCATGGGTGCAATCTGGAGCCACCATTGGTGAACTCTACTATAGAATTGCAGAGAAAAGCAAAACTTTAGGGTTCCCAGCTGGGCTTTGCTCGACAGTTGGTGTTGGCGGGCACTTCAGCGGCGGTGGCTATGGTGTGATGCTACGAAAATTTGGCCTCGCTGCCGATAACGTGATTGATGCTTACTTCATTGATGTCAATGGTAATCTCTTTGACCGAAAATCAATGGGGGAGGATGTTTTTTGGGCCATTAGAGGAGGAGGAGGAGCGAGCTTCGGAATCATTCTTGCATGGAAAATAAAGCTCCTCCCAGTTCCACCAGTGGTGACTGTTTTCACAATCACAAGAAACTTGGAACAAAACGCCACCAATCTAATCCATCAGTGGCAATATGTTGCTAGCAAACAAGATGACAGACTTCTTATCAGAGTCATATTAAACGGCATGATCAACTCAAGCAATAATCAAAACMAAAAAAAAACACTGGAAGCTTCTTTCAACTCCTTGTTCCTCGGACAAGTCGATGAGCTTCTTCCCATCATGCAAAAGACTTTCCCTGAGTTAGGGCTAACGAAAGAAGATTGTATAGAAATGAGTTGGATTGAAGCTGTTCTCTATTTTGCCGGCTTCCAAGGACAACCATTAAATGTCCTTCTCGATAGGAGTTTGGCATGGAAAGGCACCTTCAAAGGTAAATCCGACTATGTCAATGAGCCAATCCCCAAAGCTGGGATCGAGGGTATATGGGAATTATTCAATGAAGAAGAAGTTCAATTTGCACAAATGCTTCTTATCCCTTACGGTGGAAAAATGAGTGAGATTTCTGAATYAGAGATCCCCTTTCCACATAGAGTTGGAAATCTTTATAAGATTCATTATGCTGTGTTATTGGGAGAAGGCGAAGATACTGCACAAAGACAAATAAGTTGGATCCGTAAGCTTTACAGTTACATGACTCCTTTCGTTTCAAAGAATCCAAGAGCTGCATATATCAATTACCGAGATCTGGATATCGGAACAAACAACAAAGATGGAAACACGAGTTATGACAAAGCAAGCATATGGGGAATGAAATACTTCAAGAGTAATTTTAAGAGGTTGGTGAGTGTAAAAACTAAGGTCGATCCATCTAATTTCTTTAGGAATGAGCAGAGCATTCCTTCTCTTTCGCCGTGGTGGAAGAAGAGGGGACATTAGATGTCGTGATTCAAAGAAAACCCCAATTAATACAGTGGATGTATACTGATATCAGAATAATGGGGTTTTCTATACTTTGTTTAGTTTATGCCTTAATATATATTGTATTCTTTTGGCTCATATATGGTCAATTTGAAGCCAAATAATATACGTACAAATCCTTTTTGTATTTTTGCATTAAATAAATATTTCCTAGTTTGCTTGTTAGAATTTTTTGTATATATATATATTTTTGTAGCTAAGCTTGTATAAAATTTATTTGAGCAGTTCTTTATTCTATGATTTTTTTTTGTTCAAATATTACCGTAAAAATTATATAAAAGTTACGGACTTGTATAGAGATGTATTAACCAATTGAGTTATATACATGTTCATATCAATTCTATGAAATTCATTTTGGTTTTTGTTTTTTTATATATATTAAGTTTGAAATTTTTGTGCTTAGTTCATCTCCAAATTGAAGTTAAAATTAATTTGAATAAAGAAAACTTGATGCTAAATTTGATGTATGTGGGTCAGAATTGAAAATAATAGCTCATGTGTSATATACCATCAACCTAAAGGTTTTCGTTCAAATTCTTTCCAAAAAATATATTAAAAAAAAAAGAATAAGGAAAATTTTGAAACTAAAATACAATCTTTTAACGTTAATATATATTCAAGCTTCCGACCGAAAAGGAAGGAATAGATGCCTCTCCACTTAAACTATAGTCATTTTTGGCATATTTCTTCTCCCCCTCATACTTGATTTAATAATTCACATGATTCTTAAGGTAAAAATATATTTTTTAGAAAATGATAATATCATAATTTATGGATTTGGAAATCATACCGACTACTCCACGAGAGGTAGAGATTATATGTTGACAAAAGATATAAAGAAACAAACAAAATTAGATATAAAATGTATGGGTTGTTATGTTTGAATTAAAAGACAAAAGTTGCAAGTCTTTTTAGATCAATACATAATAAATGAACACTATTGGTTAAAATTTTTGTTAYAATATAATATTTGAGTGTTACAAAGAAAATAATTAAAAACAGATCTCGGGCCCCTCATCATCGAAATTCGAAAATGATGTCTAAACAACTATAAATAAATTATATTTAATTGAGTTTTTAACCAAGTTTATATTATAATATTAGAATTTAATACCTAAAAAGTTTAAGTTTATAGTTCAAATTCATAACTCCACTCATGCCATGAAGTATATGGGTTAATGTAAATTGGCTTGATGGATCAGAATGTTTTAATTGTGTTTAGTTTTGGAATAATCAGGAAATTAAGTTCWATTTTGCATGATATTTTATTAAGACTAATTGGAGCACTATTTTTTATTAACTTTTAACATATGTCATATATAGTAGCTAGTATTATTATATTCAATGAAGAAAGAAGTTTAATTTGCACAAATGGTTCTTATCCCTTCCGGTGGGAAAATGAATGAGATTTTTGAATGAGAGATTCCCTTTCTGCTAGAGGTGGAAATCTATACCAAATCTACTATTTGGTGGTTTGGACAGAAGAAGATAAAGATATTGAACAAAGACATATAAGTTGGATCCATAAGCTTTATGGTTATGGCTCCTTTCRTTTTAAATGACTGAGACCTGGATATTTGAATAAACAACAAAAATGGGAACATGAGCTTTGACAAAACAAACATATAAGGASTTGAAAACTTCAAGGGTGATTTAAAGAGGTTGGTGGGCGTAAAAATCAAAGTTGATCCTTCTAATTTCTTTAGAAATCAGCAGAACGTTCCATTCTCTTTTGCCATCGTGGAACAGAAGGGGACATTAGATGTTTTGAAATATTATTGGAAGAAAGTCTCATTGAATGGATGTATAGGGAGAAGAATAATGAGGTTTTCTAGACTTTGGTTGGTAGTTCTAAGCACCTTAATAAAATTGTCACCTTTGTATTCTTCATGTTCATTCATATATTATCGATTTGTCTTTGGAAGGCAACTAATATACGAACAAATTCTATAGTATTTTTGCATTAAATAAATACTTCCTTGTTTGGTTCTTCATTACTACTAATCTTGTCTTTCATGACAGTTATGAACAGTAACAAAAAGATTAGAATAAAAAAAATTGCCACAAATTATGCGAGCCCATTATTAGTGGTAAAAAATGCTAACTTCTTGATTTTTATAATTWTATGATAGTTAAAAGCTACCACGAAAATTGATTTTTTTTAATTGTCACAAAATGATGGAGGCGCGATTTCGCTGGAAAAAACGGTGATTTACATATTTTTCCAATTTTTATGACATTATATAAATGTCACGAAAAATAAAAAAAAAAATCCAGTATTCCATTATAGTTAGTTTGACCATTTTGAAAAATGTAACAAATGATAACGGGTATTTTTTTCTTTTTGCCAAAAAAAAAAAAGAGTCTTTAAGAATGACTTAATTCTTTCGGGATTGCATGGTTGCAATGAGTAGAGATTTATGATTATTAGTTTCCACAAATTGTCCATAAAGTAGTAGAACAATTTCACATTTTTTTCAACTTTGCTCGGGGAACCTATACAATCACATTGCAACTATTATATTCTTGGAGTCGTTTATAGTGGAAAGAAAAATGAAGATGTACTATTATGTTTTGTTGTATACGTCTCTGAAATTAGTCGTGGAACTTTGATACAAAACTGCCCCGTAAAATTAGTTGGGTTTGTCTGAACATTTTCATTTTGATTTTTCACTTCTTTAAATTATAAAATTCCATTCTAATCCTTGTTCTTTGTCATTACAAAGACCCCACGTATTTCTCGCATTTGACAACACGGCAGTAGGCACTTCGACAATACTATGGCTGTTCTTTTTGTTCATTTTTCAAAATTATATCTTTATTACTTAGTTTGGATTTTGTGGTTTATTGTGTTCGAAAGGTGTACAATATTATTAAATCTATTTCGCAACCGTCATGAATTTGTCATATATAAAATTTCCTTAGACATTGCAAATCGTTATTAAATACAAAATGTGGCAAAAAAAAAACCGTTATAAACTAATTATTTTAGTGATATTTGATTATTTTAGTTACAGTTATAAACTGTCATCAAATAAATTTTYTGTGATATTTTTTAATTGTGGTGGATGATCCATTTGTGACAAATTATAACGTAAGTTTTTCAATAACTATCACGTTCTCTACTTTCTTGATGTCTTAGTTCATGACAGTTACATCACTGTCATCAATTATGTTAATGATAGGTTTTTAACTATCGTTGAAGCCTTAATTTGTTGTGCAGTGCTTAAACTATTTTGGTAAAACTTGGATCCTTTCTTTTTCATCTAAATTTGCATAAARGATTGTTTGGGCAGTTCTTTATTTTTTTATTTTTCTTTTCTTGAATATTACTTTACAAATATGAGGAGTGAACCTATAACCTCCCACTCAATAAAAAGAAAATAGAAAATAGAAAGGTCATTAACCAGTGTTATATACATGCTCATATTGGCTTTATGACATTTAGTTTGATTTTTTTTCAATGATCAATGATTTTATAATAACAAAATATAATAAAAATTAACTAAAATCTGGTATAAAATAGCATGGAGATTTATTTAAGTAAAATAATTAAACTAGTATGTATAAAAATAATTAGAATGTAGATTTTTTTTTTTTTTACTTCGAATGTAGATTTATTTAAACTAGTATCTGCTAAGGTTAGATCAGGGAAACATGTCACAAGCCAAATACAAAATTTTAAATTAAGGTCAAAATACTACTTGATCCATGTATTTTAATCTTAGTTTATTTGAGTGTTTTAGTTTTAAAATGTCTACACGGAGATTAATTTATTTAATTGAAACAAAATTTATAATTTTTTTTGGTTTGAAATTATGTTCTCGCATGGCAGGTTGGAGATCTATTTATTTATTTTTAAGTTGAACGTGATTCCCATGTGTTGTGTCTCCTCTCCCTCTCTCTTCCATTACGTGATTGATTTAAAATATTATCCACTGGCTCTTTCAAAATTTCCCCTCCCACGTGATTCATGAAGTGATGGGAGGAGCGTTTTTTTTTAGTCTTCTGTTTTCTCTCTTCCATTACCAATTCAATTTTCTATTTTTCAAAATCATTTTTTGAAATCCTTAGTAAATATAAAAATCAAAGAGTCCATTTTATAACGTTTTGGTTTTTAGTTTTTAGTTCTTCCGGTTGGTTTTCTTTCTTTTTCATTTTCTGTTTTTTAAAAATAAAAATCATATATGTCTAATAATTTTTTTTAAAATACTGAAAATCAAACATGTTTGATAACTCATTTTTGTTTTCAGCTTTTTAAAAAGTTAGACAATTAAAGAGATATCCTAGAGAGAAATGTATCATGTACGGAAGAGATGACAACGAGGTGGCGCGAGAGTTGGGATGTCCTCCTATCCTCATTCTCGAGAAAATTTGTAGTTCTCGTCTCCATCTCATTCTCCAATTTGGGGAATCAAGGTCCAAGTCCAGGAATACTCGTTTGGAGACGAGGATTTCAAGGAAAATTATCGATTTAGTAATTATTTTTTGTTAATTTTAGAATTTAAAAAATAAAAAGAGTAATATATATATTATAGGTTTTGAGCATTCATTAGCCTACCTCATCCAAGCTTCGCAGAGTCAGCTAATATACCTAACATAAAATAATGTCTATCATTTAACTGCAAATTTCTCTCTTTCCCCTACTTTCAAAAATAATAATAAATAAACTTTCTGATATTATTACACGCGACGAGTTTTCTGACTATTAATAATTGATATATACCTAACATAAAATAATATCTATCATTTAACTACAAATTTCTCTATTTCCCCTTCTTTCAAAAATAATAATAAATAAACTTCCTCATATTATTACAAATAGTGCCTGACGAGTTTTCTGACTATTAATAATTGATATTTTTTATTTAAAGTATAAAATTGTAACTAATATATTTTTAAAATTTATAAAATGAATAAACACAAACCTACCGGTGGTAAAAGTGGAAATGAGATTGGTAATTTAACTTTTCTTTACTTTTTTATTTGTCTTAAACCGTCGGCTCAAGCATGAAAAAAAGTTTTTTATCTATTGTTGATCCAAAAATTTGGCTTCCCGAGATTCCTCCAAATTTGCACAATCTTCTAGAATACTAGGGATCAACGTGACCTACAAAACCAAAATAGTCAGAGAGTAGAGAGTAGGATACTTAGGTGTAATAGAA